CTATTCTGTTCTTCTACTCTTCTTATTCTATTCTTAAAACAGCCTCTACTCTATTTTTTTCCCTCTGTTTCTGTCTGCATTTCGCACGTTTAATTCTTTCAATTATTATTTTATAACACAGGGCTACAATACGATATACAGCGAGTCTTCTAAACTCCTAAATAAATGAATAAATATATTTATGTATCCAATTTCGGAAAGAAAATTCGCAACCCGAGACCGTGATTTTGGACACGCTGCTGCAAATCATTATATGTCCATGAAATATTTCCGAGATATTTCATCCTGAAGATATTTCCCCTCGTGAAAATCCGGCAAGCTTCCGGGAGAAGCTCGAGAATAAGCATAAAAAGGACACACTCTCTCGAGCATCGTCGGCTCTTGCAGGCGAATCTTTCGACGAGTCTTACCGCGAGACCGAGCACACAGCCCGCGCTTCTAGAATGCAAATTCGTTTAGAGGAGAGACGCTGGCTCTCTCTCGCTGAGTGCACGCAGCGTCGAGAGCCGAGAGCGCAACCAGAAACAGCAGAGGCATCAGCCGGTAGCTCTAGGTATGTATTGCGAACGACGAGGTCAGCCTTCTTAGAAGACTCGCTATATTCTCTTCTACGTATGTGTGTATATAAGCAACGACTGCACTGACCGTGGGAAGCTGCTAGATGTTAGGTAATTGAAGAATTTCTCAGAAAATAGGCGCACGCCCGTCGGAGCCGGAGGAAGCAAGCCCGAGAAGCTCACCTCTCGCGTAAAAAGCAAGTGTTGCACGCTCTCATGACACTTCGGATCAGCTGCCTTCGCTCGGCAATTAAACGTGACGCGTGATGGAATCGACTGCCTCTTAACGCTCGAGCATCGCGGCTCTACGTGTACAACCCTAATTGCACTTGCGATTTTCCTATCGTCGGACGCGCCAACTGGCTTCTTAGTGGCGCAAGACCTCGGACTCACGTTCTTCGATCGATACTTTCGAAATTTATGGAACAATTTATGGAACAGCTTTGCTTATACGCTTGCCTGCTTAATGATTTCGAGTGGTAAAAGATCGAGAGAAACAGTGGAAGTTTTGCAAAATTGAACGAAACCTGGGTAATCGGATCTAAAGTACCCATTTCTATATTCCTTTGAGCAATTTTTTTCTTTTATTTGAACACTTATTACAGAGGCTGGAGGAATTTTCATCTATAAAGTATGTATGTTATGTGAAATTTTAACATTTCGTTGATACTGTAATGGGACGAGTGTCACGATTGTACTAGGTTTGAAACAAATCGAAAATTATGTACAGAAATGATAAAATTCAATATATTACAATATAAATTGTAATGGCAATTGTGTTTCACTACGATATCAATGAGAATATTTGTATAACACACATAGTACGTGTATATGAAAGTTCTGCTGTAATAAATATTCGTAAGCCACTGTACTGAAAAATCTCCTTCACTTTTACGTGAAAATTTTTTATTAACGTTATTATAAATTATAATACCTTAAGATTTAAAAAATTGTAGCTTGAAATTCGCTTATATACAAGCTTGATTGTCTGCTCAAGGGTTAATGGACCTAAACTCCTGCAGGGCTGATCCTCATGTAAATTCATGTAAATTCATAGTTTTTGCCCCCAAAAAAAGCAAAAAACAAATGACTTTAATTCTTCTTTTAAACTCGGGCTCTCGTATTAGGGGCACTCTTTTAAAACCATTAATTTTATGCTCCTTTATATTCCTTCCATCTTCATAATAAATAATAGTATCTATCTACGAAACTAATATTTTTCCCGATATATACAATAAACAACGAATGTAGTGCGAGAAACTTCAGCTCGTCGACAAAAACCTATTAAATTATTACAATTCAATGGTTTATTGAAGAATTTTAAACGAACACGAATGGACTCTGACGTACAATCCCATGCAACCTTCCTGCTCCTCAGAAACGCGCAAACATCGACGAATCCAATAAACAAGTTAAGAAACAAAGAAATACAGTCAATAGCCAGCCTGTAGACCGAGCTGGTGACACAATCACGTTCTCGAAGCAGGCTAGAGAGTCGTCGTAGCACCTCTCGTCGTTGCTCAATACGTCCAATTACGAAGGCTGTCATAACGCTGCTAATTAAATTCGACGAGTTATTGGCCGGGTTTGCGTCACCCACTGTCCCCCACCTCCCCACCCCCGCTCTCCTCTCCGCCCTCTGTAGTTATTTCTCCCTGTGTGAAAAGCTCCTTTTCGAAAAGGCCTTTGTGCGATCAGACTTAGCGCCGTCGAAACAATAACCACCTCTCGCAACGGGAGGAAAACCGTGAATGAAACGAGTTATCCGGCAGGGTGAATCGCGTAAAACGCCGCTGCACAGCCGTAAATGACACCGGGCTAATTTTCCGGCTGGGAAATCACGGAGCCGGGCCAGCTAGCGTGAACGCAACGTGTCGGTGACACTTCAACAAGTGGAATAGGACGCGTGCGCACGTGTCGCTGACACGTTTTCGGCCAGTGTGGTGTGTGCACGCCGCGCGAAAATCGCTGATAAAAGGTACAACCGCTCCGGGAACCGGAGGAAAGTCAGGGAGTCATTGATGCGGATGCACCCAGCCGGAGAGCGGCTATTTTTCGAATCGTTTCGCGGACGCATGGTGCTGTGCGATACCGTGATGCTAAATCCGCAGATAAGCACGGCGGTGAAATGTAGCGGCCGTTACCGTGAATTAACCGCGCACGTGTGTCTGTGCGTGTTTTTTTATTTTAACATTTGAATTTTCAGCTCTTCGAGCTTCTCGACTTCGATTTCCGTCTGTCGTCGAATTTTACGTTTGGAATTTCCGAACTTTTGGGACTCGTGCAATTCTCTTGGAGTTTCTTTCGAGTCCTCTGCTTCTCTGCATCTTTAGAATTTTTGAAATCTATGAATGAATTTATCGAGAAAGTTGTATCTTAATCTTCGTGTTTCGATAGCTTGGAATTTCCGAATCTCTGAAAATTTGGAGATTTACGACTTCGAATTTACGAAGCTTCGAGTTCACTAAACAGTTCCCCGAAACTAAATCAACATAACCAACACTACCAAAAATTTCAACGTATTGCAAGATAAACGACAAACAAGATAAACTAGTCAAAAATAGAACTCTTTTAAAATAGAAGATCATTTTGAAACCAAGAAAAACCGAAGAAGACTGCCAGACACGAGCAGTAAGACATCGAAGATGAACGAAGGAAAGAACGTGGAAAGAAATTGAAGGCTGTCGCCAGAAAAAGGTGAAAAATGAGCCAGTGGAAGTATCGACAGACAAGAAGAAGAAGAAGAAGAAGAAGAAGAAGAAGAAGAAGAAGAAGAAGAAGAAGAAGAAGAAGAAGAAGAAGAAGAGGTAGAAAAAACAGAGGAAGAAGGAAAAGGTCCGTTATTGCGACCGTGTTGCATCGCATTAACCAGTCGACCGAGTGATCTTGATCCCATCTCTCACCGCGACGGCGCCCTGCTTCTTCCCTTTTCGATTCTTCGGCTCAAACGTGATCTGGCCACTAACGATCTTCTGCTACTGATCCGATAGAAATCATTGTTCCACACAATTTCGATGAATTCATGCTCGTCGTAAATGTGGAATTTTCTGATGAACGTTCCTCAGACATAATAAAGTAGAGTAAAGAAAAGTGCAGTAGAACTTTGTTTATACGGACCAATTAATGCGGAGTTCCGGATATACGGAATGGATGTAATAGAATAGTAAATCCATACAAGAATAGAATAAGAATATTATAGACGCATATAGTAAATGTTACACACGCATTTTACACTTGAAAATCGCAATACGAATACTTGGAGATTCTCTTGAACTGAAAGATACAGTTAAGAAACGCGAAAACACGCGGCCAGATCTTCTCTCGCAGGTGCTGCGCATGTACAATCCGTTCATCGGCAGATAAAGGTCAACCGCGATTTCCATAGTGTGTAAGCGACCGTTAACCGTTATTACTGGATGATAATGAATTACTATAATTCATGAGGCGATATTAGCGTTGTTTAACGCAATGCGCACCGGATGAGGAGGCCATGAGAACGTACGAAGTTACGGTTCGTCGGCCGTTCGGATTAATCTCGCGTAACAATTATTTCCCGCGATAGTTCGCAACGGTGTAGCCACGAGGAAATGCTAACGGCTTCAGAAACTGTATTTGCCTTGACTCGATTCAAAAACGCGATTTTCAGGTTATTGCACATATAGAGACAGATTCTGGTCGGATTATGAATTCTTAGTATGAATTTCGCCTCGAGATAAATAAAATGAAATAAAACGGGAAGCTATAAACGATTTAAAATTTGAATTTCATTACTTGCCTCTATATCACGAAGAACGTAAACTGCAGGATAAAATCCGAAAAGAAAAATTCGCAAAATAAAATAAAATAAATTCTTGTAACTCGAACGTTAAAAATTCCTTAAAAGTCACGTTCTGTTCGAATACTTTTTACTCCGTAGCACGTCCGTAGATAGTATAATAGAGTCTTTAACTCTTACCGCTCTGATATCTTCGCGCGTCATTTAACAGCAAACGCGATGAATTATCCGCCACGAGCGCGCTATAGGTTGCGTAATTACGCGGCAATCGCGTAATTGCGAGGTAATGAGTGATAGCCTTTTGATCGAAGATGCGACACGAGGAGCAACGCGGTCAACGCGAAACTCGGCCAGGTCGATAACCTGTAACCCGGTGTTAATTAACGACGTACACACGAACCACCGGAGCTACTCTCTCTTCGGGGGGGCTCGAACACTCCCGTTACCAACCTCGTTTCGTCGCTGAAAATTTCCTGGCAATCACGCCTCGCGAATTTTCATAATTTTTGCCTCGCCACCCTGCTCTCGCCGGACTCGTCTCGCCGAACGGTCACTAAATTGCAACGTGACGTGTACTTCGTTCTCTCAGGAACTATGCTCGAAACAGTTTGCGCCACGCGTGTAAAGACGCGGACGTACATGGGATGATTCATGCAAGTTGCATTTCATTTTCTTTTTTTTTTTTTGTTGGAGAGGTTGAAATTAGAAATAAATGTCGAACGATTCAAGCGTAATGCACGCGTATTTTATAATTTTAACGGATACTAAAACTACAAACAGAATATGCTGAACTGCCGACAAATATTTAGATCGAAATGTAAAAGAATCGTTTCCATAATTGTACATACGTTATATATAAAATATTCCTCCGCTCGAATTATAATTTATCAGAGACATAGACCATCTCCATTAACTCTTCCATAAACAGTTAACACATCGCGATCATCGGACACGCATTTAATAAAATCACGTAAGTTTAGAATATTCGCGAAACGAATTTCTTACGGTTTCTAAAACTGTCTCGTAAAAAGAAAGAATTACGTACGCGTAAAATTAAAATGAAAGATTTCGAGCGGCGAGAATTAGACAGAGAAAGACAGAGAGAGAGAGAGAGAAAGGAAGGAACGTACGATCGAATAAATCTTTAACGCGGTACAATCGTTCGATTCGAGGGCAGCGGTACGGAAGAGTACACACGCGGCGATATCTTCCGCCGCAGGTCTATTCTCGTCTCCTTCCTTTACTCTGTTCGTAGGTGACGGTGATAAAAAGAAGCGAAACTCACCTGAACGTCCACCAGATGTTGAAGCACATCGTGTTCAGCCAGAAGAACGCAGCCAGGAAAAAGAAGTGCGCCATGATTGCTGAAACAGAACGAGAAAAATGGGCTTCGTTAGAAACTTCGTTGCCAACGGGTAAGGAGCTTAAAGCTGATGATTTTCTTCCACCTGGGAGAATTATATTTCCCACGGACAATGGATAGAAAGGATTTCAACGGGTAGAAGATGTAAGAAGGAAATTGATCGATATCCCACCGTGTTTTGTTGTTGCGAGAAATTCGATTATCGTTGTTCGATTGCGAACGTATGTTTCTTTGCTGTTAGCGGTAGATTGTGGGAAATTTTGTAATTTTTCTTTTTTTTCTATTGCACATTTTTTTACGGGTGTAATTTCGTCATTTATTTTATACGCGTGCTGGACATTTTTATGCATTTGAATTAATTTCTTTCGAATTTAATATTTAGTGTATTAAATATATTGGTATTATTATTTTCATAGATTTGATATTCAACAAATTTAATATATTACTTATATTATTTAAAGTAGAGTACTTATTTCAATACTTATACCTTTTCGTCCCTGATTAAAAATTTCATGTTATATCGATGGAATTTTAAATCTTGACTCTTTTATTGAAACAACAGATCGACAATTGTATGGATCACACGATCAGAATTTAATAACTATGAATTTTTATACAATATTTAGTATAATATAAATACAATAATTCAAACTTCAATGTACAACAATAGTAATATATTATCTAGAGTATTCTCTTGTTATTAATACAAGTATTATATTATCTAAGGAATCTTCGTTTAAATTTTATTTTTCCACTTTTATAAAAATGCTGCAGAAATACCCGGCAGTCTAATCACCTTGTATGCTTTCACAAGACCGATATATTTACAACAAATTACAAATTATTATGATGCATTCCCTACGAATTCCCAGAGATGAATTCTCCTTTCACAACAAAAGACGCTATATTCGAAATCCTCAAGACCCCGCGGAGATCCGCCTCGCGCGTACAAAAGAACCCCATTGATCTGGGCCCTGCGACGCGTGTTCCCAGCTGACGGGACGCCGAAATCGTCGAAACAAAAGGAGACATCACCGATTCCCAGGTTCGCGATGAACTCTCAAAGATTCATGAACGGCAAAGGGGCGGAGAGAGGTTTCCAGGCAGTGGCGTGTCGGAAGGGGGCTCCAGACAAAGCTCAGGGGGAAGGGGGAGAGAGAGAGAGAGAGAGAGAGAGAGAGAGAGAGAGAGAGAGAGAGACAGACAGAGCTTTTGTAAAGATCCGTTTGAAAAGACGGCCGGTTGACTGGGAACGGTTTCGCGCACACCGGGTCCGACTCGATAAATTTTTCAGCCTGTCGTCCGCATTCGTTCTTAGAATTCGCCGCGGACACAACGAGCACCAGAGATCCAGACAACGCGGCCGACCATTAATTTCTGAAAACGCAATCGCGGGGACACGCGCCCACGTGGGGAGAGATCTTTTCGATCGAGCACCTTCCCTTTTAACGACGAGCCGTCAGGGGCCGTTTCTACGCACGTTAAAACATGCGATGATACACGCAGTTTCGATTTCTAGGTCACACGATGCACGTGTAATGCGTATGCAGCTTGGTATCAGTGAATCGACAGGCAAATTGACTCTAATGCGGGTTTCACGAAGCCTGAAAGTCGAGGAATGCATCGTCGTATGTTTCAACGTGTGCGCTGGAAATACGTGCGTCACGTATGTACGTCGAGAATATTTGGCCCAAAATTGCAATATTTTCTCAGTTTTAAGTATATTTAAATATAACTCAGGCAAAACAAATAATAAATTTATTACTTCTTAGTTATTACTTCTTAATTTCTATCCACTGATATACCGATGAATTCAAAAAGAAGACGAATTACTGTATACGGTTTGGTCACTCGTTATGATCCGTGAACCAGTTACCAGCGCAAGAGGTTAACACGCACTTTTGTCAATACTAACAAATGTTAATATTTAAATTCTATCCATCCACTTACTTGAACTGACTATATTTCACACGAATGTTACGCTTTCGATAGCTTCTGTACGACTGACGAGCGTGAATATTCGACTTGTTCTATTTGTCTGCTTCGAGGCTACGCAGCAGTATTTACATTTTCGTTTTTGTATTTCTAAAAATATGTCTAAGGTAATAACATTCAACGTAATACACGTGGCAGGATAATCCATGGCCAAGGATACCGATTTTATGATCTACGTATTTTCTCTACTTTACGATATATAATATAAGATGTTAAGGCCAATGATAAGTAAACAGTTGTGACATGGATGTGATTGAAACCCAGCGTGTCAATTTTATCTTTAAATATTCTTCTTTTAATTCTTATTCTTAAGTAATAATCAATGAGACTCTTTAATCCTTAAATATCAGTACACAATTGAGAAATCATATTGCTTATTAATTAAGGTGAAATTAGCAGTACTACGAAGTTGTAAAAGTTTAAAGTATTGACAATTTTTCATTAAAATTAATCGTAGTAGAACTGTCTCCAATTTCTATCTGTCAGAACAGTGATGGTAACACGATCGTAAAATCTTTTTCGAAAAACTAAAGCATCCTACAAAACACTACACGTTTTACTTCTTTTTTGTATTCTACATGAAAATATTCAGTAAAATATTTACGTTAAAATTCCATATGTGTTCAGTATTCAGTTTTGCTCCTTATTGAATTTCAATCAGGTATTAAATGAATATGTATAATTTTAGAGTTTCATACCTACGATTTACAAGTATCGATGTATTTTTGTAAAGCATTAAGCGGATATCGAAACATTTGTTGAAGTATTTTCATGAGGTATTAAATAAATATTGTGATTTCCGATTTAATATCAGTTTAATATCAACAACGAAAACTGATACCAAGCACCTAAATCTACAATACATATTCCTTCTATTCGTGTCAATAAATTCTAATCCATTAAAATAAATTAAATTAATAAATTAAAATCCATTCTACTGAAAGTACATGAATTGAGAAATAAACGTACATAAACAAATATTAATTATATTTATCCGATTACGCAAATATTAATTCAATAAACACCAATTAGATATTCCATTAATAAATTACAAACGTTACTCGACTGAATAAATATTTATTTGATTTGAATCTGAATTCGATCCGAGACTGTCCGAGACCTACTCTAGAGGAGCAGCCATCGAAAAAAATGGACTTGAAATGGACACGTGCAATTAGCAATTCGTTCCAGCAGAAAGTCAAGTTGCGTTCGAGGGTTGAAACAGCCCTGGAAGTTTTGATCCGTTTGCAAAACGTAGCCGCGAGCCGTGCATGAATATCTAAAAACTCAATCGACGCGTTTACATAATGGCGACACGGACAAAAAGGCCGGCGTTGCCTGTTGTGACGTAATAGGCCAGATGAGAGGGTGAGAGGGGCTCGATAAATACGGGGGCCTGTTTCCACGTCTAAATTAATGGAATTGAATTGTCGTAGGTACATATTTAATCGTATCACGGCATTGTTGCGTACGTTGCACCGGCTGTTTTCCTCTATTCGCAGGATCAATATTGGTTCACCGGTGTTTTCCAATAAACGGAGGTTGTAACGTGGCCGTCGAGTGCCGCGCAAAGCAATCAGCTTCTGCGCGCTATGAATATGTAAAAAAAAAAAAAAAAAAGTATTGCAAACGTGTTCCTTTTGTACAATTATATCCTACTTTCTGCCGTTTGCGAGATCTTTCGCGTCCCGATTGATTATATTATGCTTCACGATTCAATTGCAAGTGCAACGAGCCCAAGGCAGAGCAACGTATGAATACAACTTTGAAGGCATATTATTTATAATTTATCCAATTGTTTTCGATGTTGCAAGGTATTGAACGTGCATATTTGTTTTTTTTCTTTTGTTTCTCAGGCATGATTTTGTTTTCTTAATGCAAGAATACTTTTAGGTTAATTTTAAAATGTTATTTTATACGTTTCAATTTTTAATCAGAGATATTCGATAGTCATATTTATTGAAATAGAAATGTGACTTGGATTGGCCACAAAATTCAAATTACTGATCGTCAGACAAGGCTTGAGAAAATGTTTGACGTGACATGAAAATAATCATAAAAAAAAAAAGAAATAACAAAATGAAAAATTCTCAAATTAGACATATAATGTGTATATTGAAACTACTAACGATGAGACGTGTCTACTATCAGAGAAGTGAAAGTGCATACAAAAACCAGGAAACAAAGAATACGAGTGTCTACTTGCAATGAATTGGTCATTCAGATCATTCTGATTATTTCCAAAGTTAAGTTGACAAGATATACGAAAGAACCGTTCGAACATGCCTCATCATTTCGCAGAGAGAAACCTAGTACGCAGAAGAAAATGGTCCCGTACGCAGAGCTAACGGTGCATTTGCCCGTGTTGGATCATGTTTGTGTATATCGCGGTTGTATTGTGTACACGCGCGTCACACCGACAATGCCGGGAAACGTGTGTTCAAGGAATGCCGGTGACGTGCGAGAGAGTTTTGTAACCACTTCGCCATTTGCATTCACTTCGTTATGCACTGTCAATCGCGAATAAAATGCTTGTAATCTTTTTTTCTTTCTTCTCTCGCGTGTGCGGTAGGAGCAATTAACGCGCGTTAACGCGATCGTTTTATTCAAAACGGAAATGTGGGAAACCGATGTTTCGAGAGCGAACACCGTCAAGGATGACCTCGAACAATTGGTTTCTCTTACGTGATCGCGAACTTTGTAGGTTTGTGGAAAATCTCGGCGTTTAATGCGCGGGCGAACACGTTTCTCTTTGCGGGAAAATAGTTTTTCAGTTTTAATTAGTCGCGTTTAATTCATAGGTATATCAATTTCTTATTTAAATATTTACAGATTGTTTTGTAATTACGAAATATTATTACAGATTGCATACATTTCTATTAATCTCCCATAGCTAGAGTTAAATAGATTCTCATAGAACTTTCACCTTTTAACTTGAATTTCGTCTTCTTATAACTAAATTGCCAATTTTTATGTGCTTACGAAGAATTGGAAACATCGATAGAC